TAACCCCGTGTAGGTGGAAGAGCTCAGCCCAGAAACGGCTCATAAAGATAGGGTCCCTGTCTGATACAATTGAGCTAGGGAGCCCATGTAGGTGCACAATTTCCCAGAGGAATAATTCAGCAACTGTGGCTGCTGTAAATGGGTGTGATAGAGGTAGGAAATGATTGTATTTCGCCAGTCTATCTACTACCACAAGGATAACTGTTTTGCCTGTAGAAACGGGCAATTCCCGTGATGAAATCCATTGATATATCATCCCAGACTTGGGTTGGTATTGGGAGTGGTTGCAAGAGGCCTGCTGGTGCTGTAGTGGCTGACTTGTTTTGTTGGCATACTGCACACCCGGCTATGAAGTTCTGGATAGATGTACGCATGCCTTTCCAATGAAATTGTGTGGCGATGTGATTTTGTGTTCGTAGGATGCCGGAGTGGCCACCTGTGAGTGAGGCATGGAATAATTCTAGGAGCTTCCTGAGATGAGCAGAGGCTGCCGGGATTTCCAGGCATCCCTTGAAGAAGAGTAGATCATTCTTAATTGTCTACCCGGGGTGCAGTGAGGGATTTTCCAATACTTGGGCCTTCAACTGTTGTAACTCCTTATGGGATTGGGCTTCTTTTTGCAGTAGATCCAGAAGTGGAGAGGTTGGGAAAGATACTAGTAATTGAAATGACTGTGGGTGCCGTGAGAGGCGTCCGCCACTCGGTTAGCAGCCCCTGCTTTGTATTCAATTCTGTAGCCGTACCCCAGTAGCTTGGATATCCAGCGTTGCTGTTCTGGGGATAGAACCAATTGATCCAATAAGAACTTCAGACTTTGATGGTCGGTCCGAATTGTGAACCGTCTACCGATCAAGTAGGATTGCCAACGTTGGACTGCTAAGACTATTGCTATTAATTCTCGCTCATAAACTGATTTGGCCCACTTTTGTGATGTTAAGGCCTTGTTGAAAAAGGCTAGTGGTCTTGCATGAGAACAGCCCCAACGCCTTGACCGGAGGCATCACACTCAATGATGAAATCTTTTGTGAAATCAGGCAGTGCTAATGTTGGAGGGCTCGCAACTGCCTGTTTCAATTGCTCAAAAGCTTGTTGAGCCTGGGTTGACCAGTTAAAAGCGTCTTGTTTCAGAAATTGGGTCAATGGGGTAGCTGTTAGGCCGTAGTTTTTGATGAAGCGGCGATAGTACCCGGACAAGCCCAAGAAGGCCCTCAATTCTTTCACGCATTTGGGTTGCGGCCAGCCCAGTATACTGGAGATTTTATCTGGGTCAGCCGCTACAATCCCCTTTTCTACAACATGCCCTAAGTAGTGAACTTGGTTTTGCCCAAAGGAGCACTTGGACTCTTTAGCGAACAGCTGGTGGGCCTCAAGTGTTGCAAGGGTGACCTGTAGATGGTTCAGATGTTCCTCCCAATGGGGGCTATAGACCAATATGTCATCAAAGAAAACAAGGATGAACTTACGTAAATATGGCCGGAATATGTCATTCATCAACGCTTGAAATGTGGCTGGAGCATTGGTCAGCCCAAATGGCATGACCCGGAACTCATAGTGGCCATCATGTGTCCTAAAAGCTGTTTTGTGAACATTCTCCTTATGTACCCTT